CGAGCCGACTTTCACGAGCCGAGCGATCGAGCCAACGAGTCGCTTCACCCATTTACCATCACTAGTGGACCTCCTCTGCAAGGGAGCCCTATTACAAATGAGTTATGCTACATGTACAAAGTTGGGTTACAAAGTTGGTTGACAAAATAATATCTACACCAATCATTTTAAAAACAGATTTTTAAATCATTTGAAATCAACGGTCCAAATTTTGCCAATACACTTTGTAATGTAATCCAACTTTTATAACTCAACTTTATACAAATAACTTTATTGAGTACAAATTTACAATTCCAGATCACAAATATATAAAAAAAATTATCGTAATTGACACCCAGGTGGGTGAATGGAGATGGACTGTTATGGTAGACAAATACATATAAAAAAGGAGCCTGCTCTTATCATCATCATCTTTATATTCCCGAGAGAAGAAGAGAGATACAGAGACAGAGGTTTGTATATATATATATATAGAGAGAGAGAGAGAGAGAGAGAGAGAGAGAGAGTTGGTTCTCTGGTTATGGTCTGATAGTGCTTGAGAGTGAGTGAAGAAAGAGCGAGAAATATAAACAATGTACACACAAACACACAATACTCACATACCCTTGAATTCTCTTCTCACAAGTCTACATGGGAGCCATGGTATTAGGTTTCAGTTTGTAAAGAACCAATAAGTAGTGTCATTTTCATCCAGATATATTTTTCTTGGTGGAAGCTTTTTGAACTCTCTTTTCTTGGCTCCATAGTGAGGAAGTGTATAAGAAGAAAGCTACTTCTGGTTAGCAAATTATGGGCAAAGAGTGGCTGCATTGGGGGGGTGGGGGTAGATCTACCAAGAGAGGAAGAATATCAGATGTAAAAGAAGCATCACCATCTGGTTGCATGTGTGCTGTTTTTCAAATCTTTGATTTACATCACTTTCAGTTTCCTTTGCACCACCACCATTCCTCTCATTTCCACACCCATTCTTTATTTCAAGAAGAAGACACTACTGTACTCAAAGGTCTCATTTTTCACACAAGCAGTGTTTAATTTTCTGTCTGTATTTTTGTAGATTTTGGGTTCAAAATTTGTTTTAATGCAGGAGTGGAAGCGCCAAGGAACAGCTTGGCGTTAGAGGAGTGTCCCATGGACGCTGCAGCTTCACTCTCATTAGCCATGAAAGAAGATGAAAATTCGAACTTCCCAGTAAGTATATTTTTCTTTTTCCAATGTATGTTCAAATTAAGTGAGTAATAATGATAATAATTAATGATTAGTTATTGATTTGGGATTTCGATAACATTCCAGATGGGAATTCGAATCAAAACAGGCCGTGAAAATAAATCACCTAGAGTGTCTACTTCAGATTATATTTCTTCAGAATGCAGTATTTCTCCAGGGACAAAAACTCCAAATTTAGTAGCAAGACTTATGGGTCTTGATCTCCTTCCTGAATCCACCTCTCCTTCATTATCATCAAATTCCAGAACTGTAAAAAAATCCCAGTTTCATCCTCGAGGACATTTAAATTCCGGTGTTCGTTCCTTACCGGAGACGCCAAGAATTTCATCAGCCAGAAGGTCAGATGTTGAGCACAGGCTGTCCCTTCAAATTGACAAAGAGAATTTCTGTGAAGAAATTGAATTCAAGAAAATGGGTACAAGGAGAGAATTCAAGAAAGAGGATGAAAATAAAAATCAAGGCCAATATGCGAAGCAGATAGTGAAGCAAATTAAAGAAAATATCAGCAGAAAAGTTGGTACTGATATTACTAACGCAATCAGAAACAGTGAGATGAGAAGGGATGAACATCTTGTTCTACTGAAGCCCAGAAATTCATCCAGGATTTTAACAGGACTTGAAGATGAATCCAGACCAGGGAAAGGTTCAAATCCATCCAGGATTTTAACAGGTGAATCCACTCCTGGAAAACAACCAAATCCATTGAAGATTTTAACAGGATTCGACAATGAATCCAGGCCCGGAAAACAACCAAAACCATCTTTTTCATCAGGGCTCCGGTTCTTGGAGTCTAAGAACAAACCCGTCGAAAACTCAATCCACAAATGCAAGAAAGTTGCAAGTGACAAATACGATTCGTCTGCCAAGAAACCTCCACAAGCTTCTTATGCTATAAGGAACAAGAAAGAGGAACCGTTCATTCGTTCAGCAAAATCAAATCTTTCAGACAAGAAGAACAAGAAAAATACTCCTTTGTCAAATGAATTTCTCAATATCAAGACAGACCCTTCACGTCCAACTCCAAGCCCCCAAAATGTAAAACTGGCCAAGTTTGAAGATGGCAGCTGCAATTTTACGGTACTGATATAAGTTTGTTCTATTTTTGGGTCCTACAACTTGTAATTTGTTTATCTTATAATTTTTTTAATGAAAATCCAGTCGCAGGTATCAGATGTTCTTTCATCAAAAAAGAGCACACAGTTATCTAGTTGTCCGAGCCCATCGTACAATCAAGAAACATTCAATCCAGAAAACATCAAACAAGACAAACGTAACGGTGCTCCTACCTTCGGCGATCGAGATTACACTCAGTACATACAAAAAATTCTTAAACGTACTGGGATTATAGACAATGGTGCCCCAGTGTCGTTGGCCAAATGGTACTCCGCTTCACACCCTCTTGATCCATCAATTTTCCACCACCTCGAGCTCCTCCACCCCACCGTTTCCACTCCCAAACAATCCAAATTCTTAAACCAAAGATGCAACAGAAAGCTCATTTTCCAACTAGTAAATGAACTTTTGGTGGAAATTCTTAAACCTCGTACTACACGGAGTTGCAGACTTTCTGGATCGGATTTGATTGACAGATTAGGCGAGAAAATACAGAATTTTCCCTCAGCAAATTGCCAAGTTCTTGAAGACATTGATGCATTGATAGATACAGATTTGTGCAAGTCGTCGTCATCAAATGGATTCTATGAAGAAGAAGAAGGTGATACTGTAGTATCAGATATTGACCGTAGGATTCTGGATTCCCTAGTGCATGAAACTGTAACGGTGTTGTACGATACGATGCGGTCCGTAAAGTGTAAGAACATGTTCTGACAGATGTCACATGGGTCTATCATGTGATGAGATGCTATTTGTTGGATTTGGGACCCACGTGTAGGGCTCAGATTTGAATAAAGACAAAATGAAGTTCAATTGGAGGGGTACACGTGGGTGAAAAGAGAAATCAAACTTTTTGTTATTACATTTTTGACTCAGCAAAATGAGCAATCTTTTCATTCACCTTTTCATTTTTCCAAATTTATATGCTATTTCATGTGATGATGTTGATTGACGTGGGAAAAACAATTTTGTTTAAATGTTTAAATTATTAGAAAGAGATAAACCTATATATCTTCAATTCAAATTGTAAAGTGTGCCTAATTTTTATAAATGGATAATTGTGAAATTAAAACTTTGTCTCTTACATAATACAATTTTGAAAGTTTTGAAGAATACAATTTTCTTACGGATAAGATCGATTGAAAAATTCATGAATCGGTCCAATATGCAAACGGATTGAAGTTTTGAATCTCATTAAAATGATTTGAAAATTGATGGGCTAGTATAACCATTCGATTTACTTTAAAAATAGTCATTTCGAACCTTTAACTTTTGAACATTTACTAGTTTTGGAATTAATGCTGAAATTGAATTTTGAAATATTGAAAATTTCATGACAAGAGTTGTGAGCTTCTCTTCTAACTTGTGAATTCGAAATGTAACTTCAGTTCTAATTGTTATAATCAACAGTGGCTTAGTTGATCTTTCAATTGAGACTCTGCTACATGTGCATGATTGGAAAGAATAACCCTATTTGCAATCGTTCACTACCATAGTCGTCTTATGTGACAACGATTAGTGATTTGATACATAAAACAATAAAAAAACTACCACATTAATGCATTAAATTTCTAATTGCCATATATGTATCACGTAGGGCGACTAAACAGTAAACGATTATAAATAACATTACTCTTTTTAATTGCTTATAAACTTTGGATTTTATGTTGTGCGGATCCCTCACTTTGTGGACTTATAAGAACTTCCATAAGCTACTTCCAAACATGCTCTAGTAATAAGATTATATGAAATATGTGGCTAAAATGTATTGCTAGCTTAAAAAGGCTTTGCCAAACATGAACTTACAAAATTAATTAAAGTACACCTCTTTCTCTATTTTTTGAATTAACAATAGTTGTCGTGTATTTTTAAAGAATAATACTATCTAGTACGTAATGTTAAAACACCGATCTATATGACATTATATGACATGTTTAATTAAAGGTGAAATTATGTAGGTCATTTAATTGAATTCATCATTTAATGACATTAGTGCTGTCACTTAAATTGATACTCCCTCCGTCCCAATTATATGAGTAATGCTACTTACAGTTGCTCACTGCAACAGTCGTTCTATGTGGCACACACATGACATGTAGTTATTTGATGCATTAATGCAGCAGTCGCCCACGTGACATGTGTATGCCACATAGGGCGACTGCTGCAGTGAGCGACTGCAAGTAGCATTATTCTAATTATATAGGCTGCGTTTCCTTTTTCTCTTGTCCCAAATATATAGGCTTGTTTCTTAATGTAAAATATTTTATTGTGTTCATTTACCAATATACCTTTATTAAATTTTCTTCACTTAATATGTCAACTTCTTGAAATCATCAAAGTACACATTTCCCACTTCTTGGAAACATGGAACAACTCTCATTTCTTCTTCTTCAATTTCTTTATTAGTTCCAACAATAATAAATATGGGTAAATTAGGAAAAATCTTGACAAAAATTAATTTTCCAATGGCATTAAAAAAGTTTTCTTAATTTGTGTGAAAAACGAAATAAGCCTATCTATATAATTGGGACGGAGACAGCATTAAATACCAATATTACTAAACAACGCTACTCATTTTTAAAAGGGTATTTTGCATAATGAACAATTATAAGGATATGATTCCTAGTTTATGAAAATGTGAGCTTGGAAAAGATAGAAGCTTTAGACCACTTTACATCTTTATGTTTTTACTTCACTTTTCTCTTTCATATATAGGGCTGCAGAGGACATATTTATTTGAATAAAGAATTTTTGTTAACTCGAATGAGAGGCAAAATTATGTGATATGCAAGTGTGATAAGAAAAATAGTGATATTATATGATGAGGTTTATGTGGCAAAAGAAATGACAATAGGACCAAAATCAAGGAAACTATGTCATAAATCAATTCAATCTACGCGTCTAGTGAATAAATGGAAGGGATAAAAAAATTTATAGCGTTCAAATGAATACTAGAGAACCAAAATTGCTTGTCAAATTGTCTTTTTTGAGTTTATTTACAGCATGGTTCTTATCCATGTGAGCAACATCATTAGACACCTCAACAAAATTGTTAACATATAGGTAAATATAAACTAACTGAAACGATTCTGTAAGCTTAGTGACAATCTATGCAAAAAATGTTTGGAGACTAGAGTGACACGTTTTGAAAGTTAACTGACAACCATGGTTTTTAAACCAGAATTGTATTCAGTACTCTGTCATTTTGGCCAACCATAGTGAGTTGATATTTATTTCCTTTGACACTTATTAATTTATTTTATGATTTGTTACGTGATTATTTTCTATCGGTACATTCACACAATAAAACATTCTACACGTATACCAAAAAAAATTTCATACTTCTTAATCACACGTTCACCTAAAAATAATGTTCGAAACTCATTTTTTTTCCCAACTAATGAGAATCAACTGGACTCTTAATTAATAAAAAGCTTGATGCTTAGAGCATCTCCACTACTTGAGAGAAGGGTATTTTAATTATTGATATGATGCCCTATTTAAAGGGTTCAAAATCGAATAGTGCAACACTAATCAGCTAATCCTTGAAAGAAAAATTCTGTTATGAGAAATAAACTAGAGGTGATTTCGAAAAAAATATAAAAAATACAACCTTAACTCTTTAGTAATTTATCATAACAATTCCTGAAACGATGGAATTTGCACAAAACCATGTAGTCTCATTCACTTTAGAATGGTTTCTCAAAAGCATAAATCCCACTCTTTAAGGGTTGCATTGAAAAACATTGAATTTGGTTCATTGTTACATTCACTAATTCGTGAGAGAACTTGAAACATTTTATCATTTGAATTGGCATGCATTCAGAAAAGAGGGAAAAATAGTGAATTTGAAACACGAATAAGGACACACAAGACACTATTATTATATGATATTCTCCTTCATAGTAACGTGTCAGTCAGAAGGGAATAATAACCCGAATTAAGAATAATTCTGAATAAAAATATCAAGATTTTCAGAGGGGGTAGGGTAGGGGGTGCTTTGGGCCAAGAAGAAGATAAGGTTTATGGGGTCTATCCGTCTAAGTATTATTATCTCGAGTACCTGTACCAGTAATGCCATGACCTTTGGGGGTTGCTAAACAGTTTCAGTCTTAACCAGACAAGACACTGACCTGAATACTTGAAAATAAAGTCTGCACACTATTACCAGTTTGATATATTCTTGTTTGAGCCCAGTTATTCAAAAACTCAGTTCTTTTCAATTTCATTTTCAATTATGATTCTATCAATAAAAAATAATTTGCACGTAAATTTAAAATTTTTTCATACTTTTTCATCGCACTCCTCCAAAAGGTCGTTGTTACAAAATCTATTTTTCAAGAAAAATGAGGCTCAATCAATGGCTAAGACTAAACAAATATAACGCACAAAATGAAAATAAATTTTTTATATTTTAACATTGTCTAGTGAAATTTATATATGCTATACGAAATTTCCTTTTTTAAGAAAGTTACTTTTAGCAGTTTTTGATTGTAATATTATGAGCCACATTATTTTGTAAGAATACATTTTGGAATAGTAGATTGATGGAGAATGTGTGGTTGAAAAAGAAGAAAAAGAAGAAAAATTTATTGATATGATGGAAAATATTATTTTATTGAAGAATATATGATTGAAAATGAGTAGAAAAATGAGAATGAAAATTTTAATGTGGCTCAAACATGCTTTATGTATTAATTTAGTTTGAATGGATCAATGTAGTTATAGGAACATTCTTTGTGTTGGTGGATAGTTGTCTACAAATTATAGGAATTAGTTGGAAGTTACTTTGTATTGTATTTTCTCTATTTTAAGTGTGTAAAAGAAATTAAATGGAGGTGGAGTGAATTATATTGCAAACATTTTGGGAGGGCTATCAGTTCTTCAAACTATCAATACTTTGCGAGTTCAAGTTGCCTCGAATTAACTCCATCTTCATTGCATTTGTATCAGCTACCCATTTATACAATCAAATATGCACAATAGTTACAAATGTATACTAGCTATACGAGAAGGGTATCATGTTTAATAATCAATCTAATTCGCGAAATGTCATTGCTCATGTGAAGCTCATGTACTCCTTCAAAGTGGGAAATATTTGACCGTGCTTAAAAATATTTTTATTTCTATTTTTTTTAAAGGAAAATTTATCTCCACTTGTATGAAGCTTATATATTTCCAAAGTGAGAAACTAAGCATTATGCAAGATGTAACCTATAAGTCGAATTAAAAATAGGTTTTCGGTGTTCGTTTACAGGATTGCGATTATTTTCCCAGCCTGCTGCTGATAGAGGATAACTCGATGTCATCCTCACTTTCCTTAGACCAATGGACAATTTATTTATAGTTTCAAACTCAATGATAATAACCAAACAACGTTAAGCACGATAAAATATATGACAATTATACAACTTTCACAAGAAATTATACATGAAAAAATGTCCACTGTTTTCACAAAAAAAAAAAACGAAATTTCAACTGGGGCACTTGGTATAATAAAATTTGACCCAAAACTTGAAAAGAATAATCAAGCGGTCCATGTGACAAGTTGATAGTACAACTCCTTAGGGAAACAGTGATTTCTCAGCAATTATTTGCGCTTTATGGTTTCTGAATAAGTTTGGTGAAAAATATAATGGAGATTTAAACCGCGAATAGTTAATATATTATGATACGTCAATTTCAGATATTAAATCAGTCAAGACTGTTCAAGA